AGTGCTACGTGTGAGTAGCTCAGGGAGGATGCTGAGTATAAGGGAGTCATACAAGAACAATAGGAAATTCATGAGGTACTGGGAGGTTCCACCAATCATTGGGTGACCCTGGAGAAATCAAGGGATGGCAGTGAAACTGCTTATTGAGACACGAGTATCTGAGTGCTCTAGATGAGTTATGTGGAAGAGAAAGTAAGAAGGTACGGGACTAACATACTGTCATGTTTCAATTTCCTGTTTCCCAAACTTGCTGTACCACACAATCATCTGTGGCTTCTGTTAAAAACATCTCAAATCCCTCCCCTAAAGAGGTGCACCATGAAATATGTGTGTTATCTGAGAACTTCTGTTTTTCACAAGCCCTGGGTGTCTCATAGTCAGGTATGTTCAGGAAATATTGAAGTAGGCAGTAATTAGTAACCTGATGTCTTACGCTGTGGTGTGCAACTGACACAGGATGCCTGATGGACACATGGGGAGATGCTCTCCCATGAAATATAGGGATTCTTTTTACATAGAGAAAAGCCTCAGCTGACAAGGGACATTTTGGTTACTAAATTCTTAAAGTGTGGAAGGAACACAAGGATAATTGAACTTTGGTTTCCTGATTTATAGTCCAGAAAGTGCTTTGCATAAAGGTCTGACTTGGTTTGCACCCTGTATAAGGTTGAATGTGTCACAGCTGAGACCTATAGATGCAGCAGTTCTGGATATAGCCCTTCTCTTCTGATGATCAGCCAGCTGCTATCTTCACATGTCATCTATGTGACATCAATTTTGTCTACCTTTTATAAACCTAGTGAGGTTCACTCACTAGGGTTTGTTCACCCTAGTAAGTGAACAAACAGGGTGTGCACAGTTATAACCCCCAAAGGCCAGAAAACTGAAGCTCTGGTAAATTAGATATTACATAAACTCTCATGGAACTCAGCTTTACTAAATTGGTGAATATATTTGGGGTAAAGTGAAAAGTACAAGGAAAACTTAGAACCAAGTGCTCAGTGTTGGCAGGTTTTGGGGTCCATCTCTTGCCTCGGTTTTCTTCTGTATTACTTTCATTCCCTGGTAGACTTACTTTTATAGTGACAATGATGACCAAAAATGGCTCATGGCTTATATTTTACCTATTTAGTACTTGTGCCAAAACACTAACTGTTTTCCAACTGTTTCAACAAAAGCTTCAGGATTGGGTGAGTCCTTTGGGGCTTGTCTTGGGCATGTGTCCATCACTAAACAAATTCCTGTGGTAGATGAAGTAGAACTGGCTCTAATGGGACAGGTATCAAATCATTGCAATCTGCTTGTTACTTTTCTGGTTTTACATGAAAAGTCCCATACCCTAGGAAAGTCCTTAGTTTAGAGAAAAACCAGAACAGTTGACACCTCAGGACTCCACCCTGGTGAAGGAGTTAATGGCCAGCCACATTTGACTCCCACAGACTATGTGTGAAAAAGGGTGGTCTCACCAAGGAACCATCAGAAAAAGAAGTAATGAATGCTGCATAGGCTAAGGCAGCAGAATAAGGTCCTCTCTGTCTTTCTAGATTGGAGGCTCAGTGAGGGCAGGGACTTATTTTCATTTCTTTTGAAAAAAATGAACATGTTGCTCTCCACCTGGAAATTTTTTGAAAGAATTTATTGTTTCTTTAATTTTATTAAATATTTGAAAAATTAGAATGAAGAATGCCTAATAAATAGTTCATAGTATACAGGATCATTTTTAATAATATTGAAAAGTAGTGTAATCCATCTTATTTGACTGAGATTATACAAATGTAATCTTCCTGAAGATGGGTTAGGTAGAGTTTAAATGAACTTTCAAAATCACTAAAGTGCTAAGATCCTTTCCTCTATTAAAATTAAAACCTGCATTATGTTTTCTTTACATTAATATCTAATATATATTAGAAAGTGGATCTTTACATACTCTCCTAGTGACTCGAAATTCAATTCTTTAGTTTCAGTTTTTTGTTTAATTAGCACCGAGCAGTAGGCAGGAATTGTTTTTCTTTGGCCAGGGTGTGGCTTTGGCCCTAAAACCTTCTTCCTGTAACTTTTAACCTCTGATCTAACTCTGGCCAACAATGAGTTACGGATCACAATTGGGAGTTTTAAAAGAGAAATAATTGCATAAATAGCTATGCCTTTACCTTTGAAAATACAGTAAGATTTTAAAAACATTCTGTGAAGACAAAGACTTGAATTGGGTTAGTTTGTGTGAGTTTAGCCAAGTCTGTTCATCTAGACTTGAAGGCTTTCCATATAAAATCCCTTTCTCAAAAGCTGAGCTGAAAGAATATTGTAAGTGAATGTTATTATTTGTCTACCTAAATAAACACTGTTTCTGTCTAAAAATAACATTAAAAGTGAAACATTTGTGTTACTCTTAAAATTTTAATTTATCACTAAATTCCTAGAATGAAACTATAGTGAACTTCTTGGCAGACTTCCCAGCACCCATTCTCATTTCCATCAAGAAAAAAAAGTGCAGTTTGAATAAAACAGTTTCTGTCCACTGCTCAACTCAAGGTGTGGACTGAATTTGAAGCAATTACATATTCTTTGCTGGGTTAGATTTGGTCATGTGATTGAAGGAGCAGGTGCTAAGACTTCTGAGAGAAAAAGATGTAGAAGTCACTTCTATCACCCAGTGAATGTAAAAAATGGGTCACATGGTTTCTATGGATTGCTGGTAGCTATCTTTGCCACTAAAGGAGCCAGAAGCCAATTTTATTAACAGCCAAGTGGAAATTAGAGAGAACACAGTGTATGATTAACATTGTGAAGCTGCTAATTCAACCAGTCCTGAAATCTGCCCTACCTCTGCATTCTTTGCTCTACCTGATAAATACCCTTATTATTTAAGCCCATTTGAAACAGGATTTTAATTATGGTTGAAATAGTAAGTATATTGGGGATAACAGAAGTCTGGTATCAAAAGGTTCTGATGTTCTTGACATTTTGTCCCTTTGTTCTTGACCATTTTTTCTTACAGAGGAGACAAAAGTGTATCGAACACTTTGATCTGACCTAGTCACACAGGCAGTACATGGTGGAAAAGAGGGGCCCTTCTTGCCTGATGACCAGTCAGCTGCTATCTTCACAACACATGCCACCTATATGGCAATCAATCTTGTCTATAAGCCTTCATGGTGCTAGCGAGTGAACAAATAGGATAAGCCTTCATGGTGCTAGCGAGTGAACAAATAGGATGTGCATAATCACAGCCCCCAAGGGCCAGAAAAATTGAAGCTCTGCTTGACTGGATATTACATAAACTCTCACGGAACTCAGCCTTACCATATTCTGGGGCTCATAATGACAATAATTACTAACATTTACCATGGCCAAATACTGTGCTGAGGACTTCACTTGACAACAACCCTAAATGGTTGTCACTATAACAGAATAGTGCAGACGAGTTGCAGGTAGATTGTTGGAGATGATCACCTAAAATTGCTCAGGTAATGATGAGTGACAGGATGAGGATACAGTTTTAGGTCTGGCAGATTCTAGGATTGAACTAGACAGCTTCTACCTTGCCTTCCAGCTCCAACAACCTATGGCTCTAAGATGCCCAAGTAAATCAATGCACAGGCTAGCCTTATGTTCAAGCCTTACGGCTTGAAACTGGAATTAACTTACCAAAGCACAAATACTAACGGACAGAATACATCCAGATCTTAATTCTCTCCCCAGTCTTCCAGACTCATGCTAATAGCTGTACTCTGAAGGTCGGATCAGTGGGCCAAGTTCAGACTTTGATATCTAAGGTCCACTACTGCAAGGTCCTAATCTAGGTACGGGTTTAGAGCCAAGACCTTAACATTTGAGGATATCGCACGTGATTAATACTCTTAAGATACCTGCTTTTACTTTTTTGAGCGTCTGCTAGGGATAGAGTAGCGAACAAGAATGAAAATGTTTTCCTGGTGCTGGCATCTTAAGAGGGTGCAGGCAATAAATCTAGACAGTCTTACGACGTCCGCGTTAGATGCAACGAGTCCTGGTCTATGGCAGAGCCCGTGTTTGGCAATGCAGATACAAGGAGGAAAAAGAGATTATCCTCTATTTGGTAAGTGGGCCTGGACAACCCACGTGTTAACGCATAAATGTCTCTGGCCGTCTCTTTCTGCCAGTAAGTCTAAAGCTTATTCAGCTGTTTAGAGTAAACTTCCCATATCGGCCAGGAGCACAGTTCTGCACACGCAGCTGTCAAAAGAATTGCTCACTTCTCAGCTGTGTGAAAAGATGGCAAATTGAATTCCAAGATCCTAATCGGCTTTTATTAAGGATCCCAAATAGCGTTGCGATGAGCTGACCAGAGGAGGGTTATTTTGCCGACGGAAAAAGGCTGAGGAAAGCCGAAAGAGCCAACAAAAGGCGAATTGGCTGTTTCAGAGATTTTCTTCCCGGTAGAGGCGAACGCAGAGGGGATCCTCATCATCCTGCCTAAAACCGGCCGGAGGATTTGGCTGTGGATCCTGGAATCGGCTAAACCTTTTCTAGACTTGGGTTGGACCCTCGTGCAGCCCAAACCGTTTTCTCCGCGGCCACCAAAGCTTCCAAATCTAGGATGATAAGAAAAAGGGCTCGGCTGGGAGAGAGAACAAACTTTCTCTCCCAGGTACAGTTCAACCTCCGCAGGCTCCAGGTAGTACGTGAATCCAGCCAATCGCAAGGCGAGTTCCATTCAGCCCTGACTCGGGCAGCCAATCCAGTCAAACGTCTCAGACACCGCCTCGGGGCCCGGCCGCTCTGCGCTGGAACCGCGGCGCACACCCAGGGCAGAGCCCCTGCAGCGCGGACCGCCGTTGAGGACGGGCGGGCGGCTACTCCCGCTACTGCGCAGGCGCCTCAGGAAGAGCGCTGCTTCGCCCCTCCGGCTCCGGGTCCCCCCTAGCCCGCGAGCACCCAGAGTGCGGGGTTCCGCGAGCGCCAAGTTCCGCACGCTGGACCGGGGCGAGGCGGCGGCGGCGGCGGCGGCGCGGTGGGTGAGTCTGAGCGCCGCGCGCCCGGCGTTGTGGAGGGACGCGCCGCTCCCTCACGGTTCCTGGACGTCTGGGAAACAGGGGTAGTGAGGCCGTCCCCTCCTTGTCCCCATCACACTCGCATCCCCCGGGGATGCGGACGACGGGTCCCGACGCCGCGGGGACGGGAGGGAGAAGATGGAGCAGGTGGGCGTGGAGTGGGGACAGCCGTGGGGTCCAGGGGACGCCGAGGGGCCGGGCGGGGAGGGGAGGGGGAAGGAGAGGCGTCTGTTGCGGTGTCCAAGGCACGGGCGTGCACCTGCCTGAAGGGCAGACTTGACTCCAATCATGGATGGCTGCGTCGTTCTGTTTAAAAGCTCGTTTTCTAGAAGACAAGCAAGCCAACCAGCAGAGCATGCCATTTCAGATGTCCCCACGTCCCCACGAAAGGGCCGGATACCATGGCGAGTGCTTCCTTTCCCTGTTACCCCACCCGATGAAGCAATGGTGTCCTACTTTATAGACACAGAGGGGAAGGGGGCTATCCGAGGTGACGCAGCTGGTGACACGTAGATGCGTTCGGGTTTACATTAGGGTTGACCCCAGATGGGCTTTGCCCCGTCCCTGGGGCCTTCTGGTGGGCCTGAGCCTGAAGACAGGGTGAGTGCTGTAGGAATCAGCTGGTTTCAGTATTATGGTTTCTCTCTCTCTCTTCAATCTAAGGGAACTAAGAGCTTGTGAGCTCTCCTTTTCTAACACTTTCCCACCTGATTTTTAAACTAGTTACAAAATGTAATTTGGAAGAAATTTTGATGAAAGCAAAAGGGGTCCATGAAGAGGGATATTTTACTAGGAAGAATGTCAGGGAAGCGTAACTTCTGAAGATGCTAGAAAATCTTGTGTGCCTTAGGAAATCGAAGAATAATTTAGAATTCTACAGTTGTTAAGACTAAGTTTTTCACAGTTGTTTCACTTTTTTCCTTGTTAAGAAGTTAGCTGATAATCTAAAGGCACTGGCTTATCTTTGTGCAGAGACAATGCTATTTTAAAGCGGTGTAGGAGTTTCATTGAATTGCAGAGTGGATGGCATGCTAATGGTGGCAAGTAACTTTCACCACATCCTTTCCCAGTGCCATATGGGCTAAGAATGCCAGTGAAAGTTGACTGACATAATTCCATCCAAGTAAGAAAGGCATCTCGGAGGAGGTAGGTGTTTTGTCCCTTGAATTGGAGACTACATCATACTGTCAGTTGCTGCTGTGGGATTTAGATGTAGCCTAGCTAGGTCTGCTTTTTATCTTTCCTTTGATATTTTTTGTTGGTATGAAAAAATTGCAAAATTTTCTCAATATCTTATAATATAACAGTTTTATTCTCTAGAAGCTTGATTTTCATTCCTTGAAAAAAAAAAACTACTTGAGAACGTCTCACAGTAATTTGTATATAGCTTAGCACTTGCTGTTATAATGAAATGGAATGTGCTTGACATAGATCCAAGCACTGCTAATAAAAGATGTTCTGGCAGGTGAAGTTACGTTAATAGTTTGGAGATTGTTTCCAGACTTGTTTACTGGCTAGTACTATACTTAAACACTTGTTGAGGACATGAAATTAGTAAGAGCATAGTAAAGCCACTAGTTGCCTTCTGGGCTTGACCAGTACTGAAGTCACTTCACCATATGTAAAAAGAGAATAGACCATATAATTAATAATTTATTTTATAGTTTCACAACAATATTCTGCCTGTTATAGTACAGACTTTTTCCCCTAACATAACAGCTTTGTTACTACAATGAATAAAGGGAAACTAATTTTGAGAGCCTGTTTTGTAACCTTTATGCATTTCCATTTTACACACAAGGAAGCTGAGCTGGGAGAAAACAAATCTGGCCCAAATTGCCCATGTGATAAGTGTGAGCTCAGATATTAGATCCTTCTCTTTCCACTGTGTTCATGATACTAAGGATGAAGACCTCTTGGATCCAGGCATTGTGCTAAAAGAGTAGTGATCTTTTTTTTCTTCCTTCCTTCCTTCTTTCCTTCCTTCCTTCCTTCCTTCCTCCCTCCCTCCCTCCCTTTCTTTTTTTTTTCTTTTCTTTTCTTTTTTTTTTTTGGGACGAGGTTTCACAGTGTGGCACAGATTGGTCCCAAATTGGCTATCCTCCTGCCTCAGCTTCCAAGGACTGGGATTACAACACACACAACTTTGAGCATCTCTTTACTCAAGATTTGGGGAAGAAAGATTTTGATTTGTATTTTGTGGGAGAGAGACAATCAGGTTTTTGTTATGGCGTTTGGCATAGGAAAAGTGTTGTAAAATAGTTTCACATTAAAACATTCAAATCTGTATTATGGGATATACAGTTCACATAATTTTTGAGGTAAAATGGGATGACAAATATGTTTCCTGTTTTGTGGTAGGGCATGTAAGATTATAATTTCACTTCCCTCTGCTGTTTTAAAGAATAGTTTTATTGAGGTATAAGTTATGTACCATTCAGTTCACTCAGATTTATGTAGTTGTGCAACCATCACCACAATGGATTTGAAGACACTTTATATCACCCTAGAAAGAAACCTTTTACCCATTGGCACTTACTCCCCACTTTTCCCCAGCGCCTAGAACTAGGTAACTACTAATACACTTTGTGTCTCTACAGATTTGCTTATTCTAAACATTTCATCTAAATAGAATCATATAATAGGTTATCGTTTGTGACTGCCTGTTTCACTGAGCATAAGGGTTCAAGGTTTATCCAGGTTGTACCATATATCAGTACTTTATTCATTTTTGTTACCAAATATCTCATTATGTGGATAAAGCACATTTTATCTATTTATTAGTGAACATTTGAGTTGTTTCCACTTTTTAAAAATAAAAATATTCACTTAATCGTAAAACAAGGCCATAAAAATAGAATGACAAACAGTTGGGACAAATGGAAGACAAATACAAAATGATAAATTTAAACTCAGCAACATCAATAATCACATTAAATATAAATGATTTAATACTTAAATAAAAGGAATAGTCAAATTAGAGTTTTTAAATGAAGAACAAAATGTATTTTGCCTACCATAAGCCCACTTTAAATATAAAGAAAAAGACATAAGTTAAAAATAAAAGGTTGAAAACAAACTATACTGTGGAAACACTAATGAAGACAAAGTGGCTAAATTAATCTCACACGAAATAGATTTAAATTCAAATAATACTACCTAGGAAAGTTGTTTCTTGATTTTGATAATAGTCCTGCTATGAACATTTGTGTACAAGGTTTCATGTGGATATATGTTTTCATTTCTCATGTGCATATTCATGGTTGTAGAATTGCCAGGTCTTGTACTAGCTCTGTGTTTAACCTTTTGAAGAATTGCCTAAATGGTTTTGAAATTGGCTGTACCATTTCACTTTGCTGCTAACAGTTTATAAAAGTTCCAGTTTCTTTATACACTCTAACACTTGTTATTGTCATTTTAAATAATTTTTAATCATCGTAGTAGGTGTGAAGTAGTCTTTCATTGTGGGTTTTTATTTGAATTTCCTTGATGACTAATAATGTTGAGTATCTTTTTATGTACTCATCATGTGCATCTTCTTTGGAGATCATTTGATCATTTTTTAGTTGGATTATTTGGCTTTCTATTATTGAGTCATAACCATTCTCTCTTTGCCAGTCCCCCTCCCCTGCCTCTGGCACTGGAGTTTGAACTCAAGGCCTTGCACTTGCTAGGCAGGCACTCTACCAGTTGAGCCATGCCTCAACCTACAACCATTCTTTATATATTCTAAATACAAACTCCTCATCAGATACATGATCTGCAAAAAATTTCTTCCAGTTCTATGAGCTGCCTTTTTGACTGCTTGATGGTATCCTTTGAAGAACAAAACTTTTTAATTTTGATGCAGTTTAGTTTATTTCTCTCTTTTTTTGTCACATGTGACTTTAGCATGGTATCAGATTTTAGCCTAATCCAAGAGCTTTGCAGCTGTAGTTCTTAATTTGGGTCCGTGATCAGTTTTGACTTTATTTTGTTCGAGATCAGGACTCCAAATTCATTCTTTTGCATGTGAATATTCACTCATTACACCACTTGTTGGATTGTCTTGGCATCCTCTGTTCATGAAGGAATTGTATTGGAAAAGTTTTAGACATACAGTGATATTCCATTTATAGTAATTCCTCTAAGGGCTTAGTTTAAAAAAAACAATACTTTATGATGTATAAATTTCAAACAGTGTTACAAAGAAGTGTAGTGTTGTTTTAGAACAAAGTTGATTTAAGTGAAAATCTGTTTTTGTCTTTCCAAGATGACAGGCTGATTCATTATTTTTATTACTTACACCCTTGTTTTGAGTATTATGTATTCAAAAAGTATAAAGCCTTTGTGCTCTGATAAATGGCATATGCATATATTTTTGTGTTACAGATTTAGTTATATTAGATATTTCTTGATGATTTTTTTAAAAAAGTAAATAACCTAAAAGAGTATCTGAGCAAGTCTTCATGTGGAGGGAGTACCTTTATGATGTTCTGGAAGCACAAAGAACTGAAGAGCTTACATAGTTCACCAAGATGAATAATTACCTTTTACATGTTAATGTAATACATTTCAGACAGAATGTGCTCGTGAAGCATGGTGAGTGAAAATTAAGGTTTGCAATTATTTCTATATATCTTGCACAATAATTTGCAAGTAGGTTGGGTCTGAATGTTGGAGGGGCTTGAATGCCAAAATGAGGTGTTTTGATTTTTTATATAGGAAAGTGGCTCCTTTGAACATGTGTTAAGGGATGTGGCATGAACAGAGCTATGCCTAGGAAGATTTAAGTTGGCAGGAGGTGTTGGGTGAAAAGAGGGGAGGTGATCAAAGTAAGAAGGTGAGTTAAGACACAGAAGTGCTCCAGACTTAGGCATCAAGAACTTCCAGCAGTAGAGATGGGAAAGAGCAGATAGCTCTTAAAAATGCAGGTCCCTGGCCTGAATTCTGGACCAGGTGATTCAGAATCCCTAGTGTGGAGACTGGACAGCTGCACTTACCAAGCTCCTGTAGTGATTCTTACATCTACTATGCTGTGCTAGATGAGGGGAAAGCAGAGCTGACTAGATTGGCGATTGGTGGTGTTCTCAAGAGATCTCTGTTTACCTGAGAGAATGACAAAGCTATTTTAAAGGATTAGGGAACTGAAGAAGGGAAAGGCTCTG